TTACTCTTCTTCTGACCTGGAACTTAACATCTAAGTCCACATTTTTTTCTTTGGGATGTAAAGTGAACAAATAACATTCAAGGTAGTTCTGGAGTCTATGTCCACATTCACAGTAAAAACATTGTAAAAAAAAATAGTAATGATGCCACCAGAAAATTTAATTTCTAATTTTTATCTTAAAGGTCAGTAACTGTAATTTGTATCGCCTGGGGAAGAAGAAGGGGCTTCCTAGCCGTATGGTGGTATCTATTTTTGACCCCCCTGTCAACTGGCTTCCTCCTGGTTATGTAGTAAACCAGGACAAGAGTAACACAGACAAATGGGAGAAAGATGAAATGGTAAGCTCCTGTTGCAGCATATTAAGACTTGCATAACTTCCTATATACAAGTATCACAAAAGTGGAGGGAAGGGAACACAAATTTTGCTTTTTATTATACTTCAGTAAAATAATTCCATACATTTTTGTTTCTCACCTTCCCTTAAAACTTCACTGTAACTTAAACATGTGGAGAAAAGTGACAGAGAATTTAGTAAGGGGAAATCATGAAACAGTTCAGTAAGTGTATATCTTAGTGGCATAAAAGGAGAAACATTTCAGAGAGGAGTATATATGCATTGTTCTTGGAAACCGTGGAAGCTCATGTCTTGGTGTCCCTCTACACTGAAAATTGTTGGTGGGTAACTCCATTTTGCTGTTAAGTGACCTTGCCTCTAAATGTGAGTTATCTCTATGTCAAAGTGAGTTAATTTTTTGTCTTGCCTTACCAGGTGTTATAATTCCTACTTTGCATAAAAGGGAGGGATTTTCATAGATTCCTGATGATGATGTGGGGATAAGGAGTTGGTTAGATAAGTTTCTTAGTAGTCATTTTCTGTTGCCAGGTTGCATTTTACACTTCAGTGATTGAATACTGAGGACCTCCTTTCTGCTATGCCCTGCAACTGAACTTTATTCCTATTTGGTGATTTAAATTTAACATCTAAATGCAAGAGGGCTAAGGGACCTGTTTAGTTCTTGTTACCTTTCACACCAGGTAGTTGCAATTCTTGGGCTGTACAGTCCATTTTCTGATCCTAAATGAGGGTTACAACTGGCTGTAAACTGAACTTTGATTCCTCTTACGAGGCCCTCGTTCTGCCAGTTGTGGATTTCGCATTTGAAGGAGAATAGTGCCCACTAGGGAAGGGATCCAGAATAGCCCTAAGAACTTTCAGATAATAGCTTGCAATTTTTAACCAGTTTCACTCAGTGAATTCTCACAAAGTTATATATTTAAAATGGGTGTTACTTTTCTTTACAGTATATCTTTAAGCTATTTACTTCCTGTGATTAATTTGTAATGGTTCTGTTCCTAGACTTGGGACACATGAGAAGCCCATACTCTGATTATAGAACCACCAGAGGGCACACCCGAGAACTGTTCAGCAGATATACTGAATGAATAATATTTGTTGCAGAGTAAAATAGTCTGATTATTGTGGTTCTCTATTATGCCAGAGTTTAATATAAAATTTCTTATTTTTCCTTTTTAAAAATAAAATGACAGCTGATAAATACTTTAAAAAATGACTTCCCTAGCCTCTGAACAGCTTGCTTCCTTTGTCAGTCATGAACTCTAATTTGTAAAAACCATATAGACTTTTGGTCTGGGTTGTGGGCACTTACTACAGAAATTTACTACAGCCAGATGGTAAAATAGTGTATTTCATGGTATATGGGTTGACCACCAGCTTTCCAATTTGAAAGGTAAGGATTTTCATAGTCACAGTGTATAAGTCAGGGTCAGGCTCAGCACATAGCTGGCACAGCCCCATCCCCTGCAGGTGGTGCTGCTCCCAGGGGATGGAGCTGCACCAGCTGAGCACCAACCTCATCTATGTCCCTGTCTGCTGCAAGCGGCGCCAAGCCTGGTGCTGTTCACTCAGTGCTTGGCTGGCGTGGCCCCAACCCCTGCGAGCCCAGTGCTGGTTGCAGGGGATGGGGCTGAGCTGCTTGCAGGGGATGAAGTTGAGCCATCTGAGCCCAGCCCCACCCCCTGATTTTTGTGGCATGGTGTACAAGTCAAGTTGGATTTTTAAGACAGAAATTGGGCTTCAAAACCCAACATATACACCATCAAATATGGTAACCATGAAATGACTACGTAGTGATTTTTATTCCTAGTCTGTAAGATGGAGTGTTCCAGCTGGGAATTGAAATTTCATAATATTTTGATTAATTGTTATTAAAACATTTTAGAAAGATGTCAGATTCTTGGCTTGGCCAAATTGAACAATGAAAAACAAGTACTTCTAGTTAGGTGATCAGACTGCTTAATTTGAGAGCACAAAAAGCATTTTATCTTCAACTTGAAATGCAAGTAGTGGCAGAAAAAATTATTTAAAATTGAGCAGAATTTTATGAAAAAATATGTTTATTTGGGGAAGAAGGCATCTAGTAGTAGTAATTCCTGAAAGAATGATATTATTAAAAAGCAAAGTTACTTGAATTTCCTATTGGCTTCCAAACTACTGGTAAAGTATTATAAAGATTGATGTTTTAAAAAATAGGAAGTAATGCGTACATGAAATAAGGGCTACTGCATTCTTTCTAATAGAGTTCAGACGTGTATAGTTTTTCATAAACTTTTATTTCTGAAAATTGAAGAATATTTTTTGTAATCGTAAAATTGGCAGATTCACTAATGCTTAAATCTGTTTTAAATCTCTCCCTTGGTCTCCTGTCAATCACAGTCTACATCTACACTACAATTACCAAAGTATAGTGTTGGGAGCCTACCTTGTTTGAGTACCAGATGCAGTCTAGCTATGGGAGTATGCAGCTCAAGTAATCTAGCATAGCTTGCTTCTGTATCGTACAAGGTCAATATTTATACCTTTAGCTTTATGCTGCTACAGTTAGACTGCTCCTGGTACCCCAGGTATCCAGTTTAAGCTACCTTGCACTACAGCACAATCAGTTCTGTAACTGCAGTGTTACAGCAGCCTTAATAAGAGCAGCCATAGCTGCTTGCAAGTCGGTTCTGACCTGTGCAGTTCTACATTTCACTATCTTCTCTAATAAAGAAATATGGCAAGTCTCAGAGTACCAAATGCTTTCTCTTGATCGCATCTCTTAGAGCAGCATTTCCCAAATCGTGGGGTGTGTGAAAGTTTCCTAGGGTGGGATGGGAGGAGGGGGAGCAGCAACTAAAGGCAGAGTATTACCCAAGAAGTCTGCTGCTCACGTGGGTGCATATAATATTGATGCTGTGCATCCACAAAAGTACCGAACAAAATTTGGCAGGTTGAGAGTGGCCAGCTTCACTGCATGGAGTGTAAATCCCCAGTGTTTGGGAAATGCTGATCTAGAGCTTTACATAATTGGTACCATACTGTTTGCAAGCCTATGTCCAAATATAAAGATGAGGTTAGATATAAATGATCACACTACATTTAAAATGACAGTGGGCTTTGGGCTCTTAGGGCTTCAGACCAGAAAGGCACTTTGGCTGCATCCCCACATGCAGGGGTGTGCATTTGCAGCAGCCAAATGGCAGTGGCACATATTTTTGCCGCTGCTTTGTGCCCCAGGGCATGCCTTCACATGTGCGCTCCAGCAGGTGCCAGATTGTCCCAGCTGGGGTATAGGAGGTGGGGGCCAGTACATGTGCTGGTCCCTGGAGTCTTAACTGGGGGCTTCTTAGGGCAGCAGTGGTGCTTATCCAGCTGCACGAGCCTGGCTAGCAGCCTGAGGGTGGCTCTGGATGGCCAGGCTCCATTTTTAGTGGTGTATGCTGCTGCTGTGTGCACCACGCTGCTTTTTGCAGCGGGTTTTGTTTTTAATACCAGAACATCAGGTAGCAAGGCACCAGTGAAAACCGTAGTGAGGTATTCTACACGTTCCTGGTTTTGGCTATAATTTATTATAATCATCATTAATGAAAAACATGAAATATCACTGCTTTCTCTCAACCAAGGCAAAACTAGATGTTAGAAAATCCAGCAATAATTTTAAAAATAGTTTCAATTAAATTGATATAGTAACTAAAGACTTAGTTTTGTTTAATTAGCCACATCTTAAAAGAGAATATTCTCTTAATGTATTCCCTTTCGGATATTATGTGGTGTTATCCTTTGTTACTTAATGGGGACCTTACTATTTTGTCAAAAATGTAATTTTTAAGAAATATGCCAAGGTTTCTGCATTTCCTATTTTTAGACCTGATCTAACGAAAGATTCGCAGCATTAGAAAAATGCATGACAAATTGGAAAAATCTTCTTGGCAAAACATAGTCTGAAAGTTCATTTCTGTTGGAATTTAAATGTTATTTTTTTCTGACTCTTTTTTTCAAATGCAATTTGTACTGTAGAACCAAATATTGGCCTATATCTAACATTTTTAGAAAGTTAGATCACTTGTTGAATCACTAACACATGCTATCCAGACTGTCACCCACATAAACATCAGACTTTTGCCAAACTAACTGGCATTAGAGCTCCTGTTTTTCTTTCTATAATATAAAAATCATCCTACATTGATTCCCTAAACTTGTTTTCCTTCATGTTTGCCAAGTAGACTATAAACTACTTGCAACTAACTATACTTGACGTGGAAGAATGCATTTTTCTGCATAAAGCAAAATGATTACAGTAGCACAAAACTAAAAAAGATTTTTCTAATTGTTTCACTGAACAAATTTTCCATTTGTATGTGATTGTGTTGTATTATCATGAGGCAGTATGCCTAAGCTCTACCTTAAGTAAGGTTTATAAAATCCCTATTATGGCATTTTTTTACAGAACAAAAGATTTTAATTTTACTTCCTTGGGTATAGGTAATAGCATTATTTAGTAGCCAGAGACTGACACAGAACATCTAAAGGAATGACCTGGGTACATCTGCCTAACTATTGGGGGGGTTCCCCCTCTTTCTTTTTTCTGTGCAAGTAAAATATTTGGCTGACTTTTAGTTTTAAGTGACAGATGTGCACATTTTTTTTCTCTTGTATTTCTGTTTAAAATGTTTAAAAAGAAACAATTTGTAGTAAAACAACAGAGGTTTCTAGTAGAAAATATCATTTGCAAATCGATTGTACTCTGAGACAGTTATTTTAGTCTTAAGAATTTGGCCTTGCTCTGTGCATGTGGTATAAACAATGTAATTAATAATATTAACTGACAGAAAATGTTTTTATTCTTTCTTTTAAAGTTAACTGATAGTGAGTATAATATAGAATAATATAAAAATAATTACCTACATACCTTATTAAAACAGAGTTGCATAACCATTTTTTTCCCCCTCTGGCTCATTTTATTTTTATGCTTTCTCTCTTAGACAAAAGGAGAGGGCTTGTTGCCTAATGGTAAAATTCCTGATGATTATGATGAGGAGGAAGATGAAGACCTAATGTGGCGGTTACCCAAGGAAGAAGCTGACTTTGAAGATGATTTTTTGGAGTACGATCAGGAACATATCAAATTCATTGATAGTATGTTAATGGGATCAGGGGCTTTTGTGAAGAAAATGTCTCTCTCACCCTTTTCAACCACTGATTCTACTTATGAATGGAAAGCACCCAAAAAATCAACCCTGGGTAATGTTCAGTTTTCATCAGATTTTGATGATTTCGACTATAGCTCTTGGGATGCTATGTGCTATCTGGATCCTAGCAAGGCTGTCGAAGAGGATGAATTTGTAGTAGGCTTCTGGAATCCGTCAGAAGAAAACTGTGGTGTTGATGCAGGAAAACAGTCTATCTCGTATGACTTACATACAGAGCAGTGTATTGCTGACAAAAGCATTGCAGACTGTGTGGAAGCCCTGCTGGGCTGCTATCTGACCAGCTGTGGTGAAAGAGCTGCTCAGCTTTTCCTTTGTTCGTTAGGGCTAAAGGTGCTCCCTGTAATTAAAAAAACTGATTGGGACAGCACTTTGTGTTGTAAGAGACAGAATTTTATCGGTCAGCAGAAGACTCTTTCACCAAACTGTGCTTCCACCTCTGTAGCCAGTTTGGAGTCTTCTCTGTATAAAGACTTGGAGTACGGCTGTTTGAAGATTCCACCAAGGTGTATGTTTGATCATCCAGATGCTGAAAAAACCCTGAATCACCTTATATCTGGCTTTGAAAACTTTGAGAGGAAAATTAACTACAGTTTTAAGAACAAGGCTTATCTTCTTCAGGCATTTACTCATGCCTCCTACCATTATAATACCATTACTGGTAAGTTGTTTTAAATAATTTCATTCCTACATTAGATATAATTATGAGAGATAAAATGCAAGTTGTCTTCATGAGCAGATCTTTCCTTATGAGATACTGCTAGACTTCTTTATATGTTAAAATAATTGCTGCTTTATACAAAAATGACTACGAAAATGGAGGAGAATATCTTGTTTCAGTTATTTTAGAGGGAAATCCCAGTCAACCATGTGTGACCTCTCCCTCTTTAAATGCTAGAAGGGTATGTAAGTGACTCAGGTTTGACCTGCTTCAAGTGTACAGCATATAATTGTTGAGCCTTTTTTTTTCTGTTTTCCTTCTTTAACTCTCCTCATCAGCTGGATATGCTCAGGACTAATCCTAAACTCAGCTGGTTGAGTTATCAAGTAACATTGGAAAGTGCAGTGCCTTGCTAGAACTAGTTACGATAGTTTGCATAAAACAGAACGAAAGGTGGTGTAATCTGCAGCTGTTTCCCCAGTTCTCATCCCAGGAGCATCACCTTGACTATATTCCTGAGCTATAAAATAAGACTCTGTCATTTATTAGCTGAAAGGGATCATGTGGTAGCAAAATACAAAGAATAGATTGTGGTGAATTGAAAAATGTCACTGTAAAATAGTTGTCGCATTTTATACTCAAATGTTTAAAGTTAAACAGATGTTTGAGTAACTTACTAAATATTTAGCTGTTCATGAAATGTGAACTGTTTCCATACATAATTTCTGTAATTCATATGGAGTTTTTCCTATAAAGTTTGTGTGCATTTGTGTGTGTGCACGTGTACATGACTGCACATAGTTTAAAAAAACTAAATGAGTTATTTACAAGAATATGGCGTTGTGGTTTACAACATGAGTCTTAGACTGTTTGTAATTATTTTTGTGTAAATTAAATGTTCTAAAATATAATATTCACTTGTTCTAAAATCCAGAGTATTTTCTGTCAGCATGAGATTTAAAATAAGAAAAATAATGGCTCCATTTGAAATGATTGCAAAACTCCTGCCATTGAGTTTACTAAGCCAGGGTTTCATCCCTGCTTTGTCTTAGTCTCACCTTACCCTACCAGAGTTTGGGAATACTGAGGAATATTTTAGGGCCCAATTCTGTGTGTGTGCATGTTGGATAAAGCGTCCTTAGCTTTAGAAATGCTTAGTGCTTCATAGGATCTAGATCTTAGGAAAGAAGGATTTGTTTCAGTCAAGTGATACCTTGACCAAACAGCATGGGCTTCAGAGAAAATAGAGGTGGTTTTTCAAGGAGAAATTCTTCCCAAGAAATCACAGCTTTTACTACTGTGTTTATATGCTGAGTAAGGCTTCCATGCATAGAATTAACAGTGAATATTTCTAGGCACATGTGCTTCTTTAAAAACACTGTTTCACAATATTCAGAGGCAGTAGATGGTAGATATTGAGTCCCACAAGAAAAATGGGAAAATTTAAGGGATAGTCTTTTGACCAAAGCTAATTAACACAGTAAGTCAGTGGCAGGAACTTTGAATGGAATTTGGGAATTCTGATTTCTAATCGTTTACTCAGACTGGCACAGAAAACTATTCTGAAAATACTTGCATGTTCGTGATACTTTTTCCATGAAAAGTAAAAGTTAAAGTCCTAGCAGCTTCCCAGTGACTAGGTACAGACAGCTGCTTTGTGCTAGTCATTTCACATTTAAAACATTCTCAGTGTTTTTCTCTTCGTCCTTTTCCCCATAAACCATTCCTTTTGCTTTTTTCAAGAGTTATTCACGGTGTGCTCTTAAAAACAAACAAATGAAAAAAAAATCCTATACCCCCTTCACAATCTAAACTAACAGCAACAGCCAATATTGTTTTCAGATTCAAAATTAAAAGCAGCAGTCCTGCAACTGAAATACTGCTGAACACTTAAACTTCAAGAAGCCTAAACATATAGAAAATTGCATGAGAAATCTTAATCGTTAAATATACCTCCACTACTTTCTTTTAATATTCCTTTCTTGGGTTTTTGTTTTATTTTTAAGTTTGGTTGCCATTCTTTTAAGTTCGTCCAGCCAATAAAATATAATTTGATTTTATTTAT